TGTTTGACGGACATTCCTGTACATATCGAATAAGACATAGTAATGCATTTGAACCAAGTTATCCCTTCTTAAGGTCTTTACCGCAACTATCTGAAGACTAAACGCAGGGTTGCGTCATGTTTTAAATGCTGGCTGCACTTTCTGATCATGTGGGGATTGTGAGAGGCACTGCAACTCCCGGGGTCAGGACCAAGGCAAAATCGGTCACACGCTGGTCGGTCACACGCGTGTGCACACACTGGGAGACAGATTGGTCGGCTGACCGATGGGTGTGAGCGGCTTGCCGGCAAATGGAGAAAAGGTTGGATGTGCGCGGAGCCAGATAGGAATGATGGGCGAAAGATGAGTCGAGAGTGGCTAATTTTTGACATGATAAATAGGCATGGAGGGGCTTTGTTTTCCGGTACACCTGGCTAAATGGTGATGCTTTCATAACTGGATTTGAAAGATATGTGCACAGGTCGCTTTGTGCTTACGGATGTACAAAATATGGTAGTTGGGAAGATATATTAGTTGTACATTTCGCTTTCCTTCATCCCGATTTTACAAAATACAAATATACAATAATCAGAGAAGAGATAAGTACACCCATTATCCAAGCAAGTAGCTTACTGCAAGCATAAACGTTACGCACACGAAACAATTGTGTTAGCACATATTTGCTCCATAACTCAGCCGTGTACACTACACTTTTATTTAGCATTTGTCTACTTTCCATTATGCCGTGAACTTCAACCACGCCTGTAGTCATCACTTTAATTTATCATGACGGTTTTCACGAAGCAAATCCATATAGCATTATTTTCTATTTCCCTGCACCTTAATACCACCAAAGTAAATCATACACTCTGCAGCCACTCAAACAAGCTTGGATGTTACCGAGGACAACGGTAGCGAAACCCTTTCCCGCCATGATAAAAATTAGCCCTTCCCAAGATGGATCTGTGGCATTAGTAGATTTTAGTTGGGTACGATGCGTGTGGTCGAGCGGGAATACCAGAAGGAGGAAACGTCAGACACAGCGGACGGTAATGTGACGCCACAACAAAATGAAGACGGAGGAAATGATCAGCAGCAAACGTCACTCTGACGCATCAAACGTAATTGTGACAAACAGGATGTAGGCCAAGGTGGCCTTAGTGTAAGTTTAAAACAAGGAATAGTAATGTACAATTGTTTAGGAATGAAAGTGTGCATAAAACGTGGTAGTTATCTTTGGGACGCAACAGAGCTCCCCCAAGAAGGCTGAACAAAAGAAGCCATCGATATGAAATATGATGGATGAAGCGATGTTTGTCTGGAAAAACCGCGTTGAGTAAAAATGAACGAGCGTTCGTGTCAAATGAGAGTTTGTGGGAAATAGGAGTCTGCTGTGCCGTTTGTTAGTTATTATATATCGATTGCAGGGCAGGGGCATGTTAGCCATCCGTTGGAGCGGGTTGTCGGACATCAAAAAAATTGGCTAGCCCCAAAATGGTCCACAGAAACTCATCCACAGCTGCTGCCAAACGGCGCGCTTGGGATTGGTCTCACTCACCGACTCCACTCGCCCCGCTTGAGAACGACACAAGTCCCACGAAGAAACGACGGTCATCCAACAAAAAACGACCCTCGTCCAGCGGAAAAACGACCCGCATTTGCGTCCGGCTCCACGTTGCCGGCGGCGATCCTCAAGTAATTTGCCCACCAGTGCCAGTCAATCGAAGGGGATGTAGAAAACATTCGAACGTCACGATCACAATGCCATACCATATTTTCTTCCCCTAGCAAATATTTTCACTATACCTCCCCAGTCCGTCGTGAAACCTAATCTCCAACTCATTCCGACCTATATCCATTAAAAGCGTTATTGCCTAGCATTCCCACGAGCACAAATTACTCCTACACCCTTTCTTAATTTTGCTTACCATTGTCAACACCATGCTCTGCACCGATTAGGGTCTTTTGGTGACATTCACACCACACCGATCATGCCTGTCTGCTGATCTTTCGCCCCCACCGATTATGCCTGTCATCCCATCCCTTCCTTTGTGTATGTGCATCCGTGACTCCGTTGGTGAACGCTCCAAATAGGCCAAATTCATGCCCATTTGAGGCCTACCCACACCGCATCCCATTTGCGTGATCCACCAAGCCCACCGCCGTACTCGTCCGATAAACGCACTGTGAACTTTAGTGCAGTGACTTCGTACAGCGGACGCTCTAAAGCTAGACTTGTTGACTCGGAGAGAAACGATTGTCATGATAACTATGCTGCATGTGAATCGTTCCGGTGACCTTATTATTGCAAGCCAGGCGTGCAGACCACCCGTCCACCGGTCGAGATTTGCGATAGCATCATCTAGGAGCAGCATGGACTACGTGAAAACCGTTCATATACCAAACATTTTGCTATTCCTTTCCAGCTAGACGGAAATGTCGATGCTGGATAAGGAGTCAACTCCGCCTGCCTTGATTTCTCACGACTTTTGATACTCTAGATCACCGCATATTTCTGTATAAGCTTAGGAGCTATGTGATCTGTGAGCTGATTCTGCGCTGGATACATTCATTTATATTCCAGCGCCGTTTGAATGTGTGATTTCGCAACGCCCTCTCAAATCCGATGGAGGTGCACTGCTGCGTCCCTCAAGAATCGGCACTAGGACCACCGGTATTCCTAATTTTCACAAACGACCTCAACGGATGTTGATGTTAACTCTCTACTCTTTGCAAACGATCTCAAAATTCGGCAGGAAGTAAAGCGAGTAGACGACCACATAGCACTGCAAGGTGAATTCAACGGGGCTTAAAACTGGTCTGCTCAGAACATGCTTGAGTTTAACACTGTCAAATGCAAGATGATTAGCGTGCGCCACTACTGCATTTACGGAGATCGAGTAGGAGAACAATTTTTGCAGCGCGCATCTCATGCAAGCGATCATGGGGTGCTCGTCCTGGGCGATCTCAGATGCTCAAGTCAGGCCAAGAAGGCCGTGAAAAAGACCAGTCTGCCGCAAAGGGCGTTTACGCAGATGTTAAATGCTTGCGTGAGACCAATTGTGGAATAGGCTACACAAATTTGGCATCCCTTGCAAAAATTACTTCACTGATTAGATTGTGAGGTGATGTCGTTTCGTGCAGTCTTATCAATCACAAAACATGCAATAGGGGAACATAAACAGTGATCATAGCAAAACGCATGGGATATCACGGTAGACTTAGAACCACTGTTAGCTGTTTTTAAATGCACAGCAGTGGTTATTCGCGATCGGTAACGATAGACTCAAATAGCCTAAGGATTTGGGGCCACTAATCACGTATTAGTACTGTCAACAACTCGTGAGGATTGACTCGGGGACCAGTAGTCAGCAAGTGCAAGGTGACTGTTGTTTATGTTCCGATGTTGCATGTTTTTGTGATTGATAAGTATGCATGAAATGACGACGTCATCACACAAATTGCTTTTATGTTTGGAATCACAAATGGAAACGATTGTTTTAAATACTTCACTGCTGTTGAAAATTCACAAAGGAGGGCGACAAGAATGTTTTGGGATAACTCCACCTCCTTTACTAGTTTATACTGTAAAACTTGAGGTTTCAGTGAGCAATTTCGTCTTTCAGGTAATCTAACATTGGTCTACCCAGACTGACTCTTATTGAAACTCAGCTACAACACCTCACTGAGAGCCAACTTATGAGGTTGATCACACAGGATAGCCGGTTGGATGTTGCCTGAACACTTTCGCCACACGTATATCCTAGTCTTGTAATTTATTTCCACATTCTCTCATCTCCGCCAGTACATTCGCTTAATTCAAAATTTAACTCCATGTTGCTTTACACCGTCTGAATTACATGCTTTAATCTAAGCTACAAGGACACAGGACAACGTAACGTGAAATATGCGGTGAGTCCACTGTTGCGTGTTGCTTGATACACTCACTTTTTACCTACGGAGATTTTTAAGTGCTTACATTTTATCCGTGATGAATCCCTTGTTCTTTGAATCAGCTGGTGTATGCTGGCAGACTTCATACAAAGTTATCCAACCCCGTGCCACCGTTTGGCTTTTAATCCGCAATCCCTATGTCAATCGGGCAGACACAAAGTGCGTGGAATGGTTTTCGGTACCCCGCAATGTGAGGATCTCTACGGCTGCGAAATGTGTCTTAACTATCCTCTTATTTTACTCCAATTGAAACAAAAAATAATCCAACCATTGCACATGTTTCTGCAACACGATGCATTGCCCTTGGCGTAAATGTCAGTTTGCATGCATATAAACCAATCAGGAAGTTCTTGAGAATGATTTTCTCTCATCTAACCTCGTACTCTAGTCGCAGATGATCAAGATACCCTACATGCTCCTAGGGTGAAAGATTTGAGGAGATCATTCTTGATAACTATCTCATTGCTTTTGTTTCAGCGTGCCGATATAGTTAGTGCAAATGCGATTTGGCCCAATACGATTCCTAGTTGCTATCAGGATGCGTTATTAGTTGCAGGTTGAAGCTAACTCTGGGCTTGAGGTAAGTCTATCTCGATTCTTACTAGCCCGAGCAAATTCACTTCCTGCGTCGTTTATTTCATACCATCCCGCAAGTTTGCATTCAAGGATGCTGTGTTAATTTATTACAACTATATTGATGTGAATAATGGTCATAATTGAGAAAATCAGCTAAGACCCAGTGTCTGATTTTGCTAGATGAGACCAAGTACCGGACGACTAATGTGAACTGAAGCTTAACATTTTTATGTGTTAACGCCCTGACAGCTATCAGGATATCAAAAAGATCGGGTCCTTCCGTGAGGAACAGTAAGTTTTACAGCCTCATCTAATTACGCTGAATGGACGATTTAGTAACAATTGTATCACCAGGCATTAGCTGACCGGCTGAAATGGGACACTGAGTATATTTGAGGTGTGGGGAGCCAAGTAGACCTCGATTGATGCGTACCAACCTATTATTTGTTGTTCAAAAATAAACGACTAGCCATGTGTTAACACAGGGAAGTGCAGATTTTTGTAAACGTGTATTTCGTGTGCCAATGGAAGTTGCGTATTCATCTTCGTCTTTGAAGCAGAATCGCTCACATGTGCTTCATGTTTTCTCGATGAATTCACGAAAGTCAGCTCTGGTTTCATACAAAGGTAGGTGTATATCGCTTTAAACTTTGCGTTTGTTTACGAGAAAGGACTCCGCTCGTTGGTCCTTGTAACGTAGAAAATGGAAGTAGCCGATTTGATATTACGGTAGCAGCACAGTCTGTCCAATTCAAGCACTGACCAGAATGACCCATCGGAATGCGATTGAGTTCGTTCAGCACCCCGCGACAATCCACATAACCGGATGGTGGTTGAAACACTAACCGTGTGAGAGGCAAGTTGAGACGGGCCAGCCGCATGCACTCCAGTATGTACCAGGTGTTTCTATGCGTCACTTTCGTCGGGCTACGAATTGAACTGGTCGGCATTTCTCAAACCGGGACACAACTGTAAGCAGGTAAAGGCTAATGCTCACCTTGTAGTTAACACGAGCACATATCAACCGTGAAAGGATGTGAAAACACGTATTGACAGTAGGTATCGTGCACTTTGTAGCAAAGCAGCTGATTCGTGCTGTGGTCCAATCATATGTACGGATTCATTTTCAGCTCACAAATCACGAGTCGGTCCGTCTGTTAACCACAAATCGCCACAAAGAGGAGTACTTTACCGTCTCGTGGCTGCATCTAACAATTAGGTGACCTGAACCAAAGGCGATCGTTCGGATACCTATCTTAATTGTGATTAATTAGAGCGTTCTTCCATATGTTATTGGCATAGCAGCAGACTACCTAACTCCAGCTAACAGAAGGATTGCACGGCGGTGAATGACAAGCTAGGAAGTAATCAGTAATCAATCTATTGAAGTCACAATTTGCACTCCGAGAATCAAATTTACCCATCTTCTGGTGTGAACCTTCATACACCTAGCAGCACAATATTAAAAGACGTGCATTTTGGTGAAATCTAAAAAGGGTTCCAGCCGTCCAACTGAGAGTGGTTATACGGATTAAAGAAATGAAATACAGGATACAGTAATCATGGCAAATGCATCTATAACGAGATCGAATTCCTCTCTAAGGTTATCGTCTTCCTCCATAGATTTCTCATGATGTTTGTTGCCGCCATCAAATTGAGTTGGAGGCGCGACGCCCCGAAATGCATACCGTTCCCTGTGTGAACAAACTCAAAGTAGCCGATAGTATGTCCGATGAACGTGGGGAATAGGGTGCTGGATGGGTTTTGAACTCAGACCCACCTGTGGCATCGTGGAGTGCGCGCAAATTGATCGCACCTTGGGGGTGGGTGTATAGATGTGTTCGACACTGAAACTCAACAACGATAGGCCACACTGAAGCTTGCTCCACGCAAGCTAACAGACATGCTCGTCAAACTCACGTGATATGAACTATGTTTGGCGGTGTCCACTAGTAATGGTGTGTGGGTAGGCGGTAGCTATGGATGCTGTACGTATTCTTGCAATCATTTGCCTGTCTTGTAGTGTTCTATCACCTTGTCCACACAAGTAGACGGTCGAGCGTCCCATTTCGGCGTCTTTTTGTCACTCGTAAAAAATGAATAAATGTGGGTATAACCTAGCAGTCAGTTTGACTAAAACATAAGTAACCAGCGAATGCATTTAATATATAGTATACATTTGATTATTCCTCACTTTACGCTGGTTTAGTCCTACCAATAAATTACACCTCTGAAATTTTTTCGCCATTGCCTGGCTGAGTTCGAAGACCTCATACTAGGGGAACTCGGTCTTTAAGCTTGCTTACCGTAGCGCAATGCAGGACAACGTAACACCTGGGATACACGTGTCTTTCACTGGTTTCAGTGTTGTCATATATGAGCCCAAGCTGGTCCTAACCGACTGTGCGCCTCTCGCTTTCCAGTAGCCATTAGCAATTTGTGGCGCCTTCAACACAGTCATTGATGGATTCCGCGGACAGTGTTTGTTCTTGTTCGCATGATTCGGTGACACAATCTTTGGAGTCAATTATTGGTAAGCAAAGCTTTCCAACCTATGACATATGTAAAGGTGTGCCTGGTAACTTAACGCCTGTGATAACAACACTGCAGCTGCTAAGCATTACTGCAATCAGCCGCAGTATCTCGATTAATGGAGATTTCCAGCTAGAACGATAAACCTCATGCTTCACAGTCTTCGCTTGTTGCACACTGAATTACCGTTGGATTCGCGCACGTTGCTCGGTACAACTCGCCGACACCCAGTGACAATTGTTTAGGGGGGCCTATAAGTCGCGGGTTGCAAGCCAGTGATGTTGCTGTCACGTCTAAGTTGACGTTGTAGCTGCTCATAGGCGAACTCACTCTACTCTGTAGTTCGCGTAAACAATTGTGCCCTGTCTTGGCTAGACGCACAGATCCGCCTTCATCAGTATTCATTGTCGGATAGAATTTCGGCTTTTCGAAATCGGCAGATGTACAAAAGTTCCTACGACCCACCATTGCTGAGCAAAAAGATAGCATGTATCTACGATACCGTATTTCTCCTGAGGGACCTCGGTAACATGTAACTTGAAATGTGTGCTTGCGGATGGTCTTGCTCGAGTCTACAACCGACAATTAAAGCAGCATTCCGGTTACTACGCATGCGATAAGTATACCGTTACTCGTGAGTATCCACTTTCTTAAGAATTACATTAACTTGCTTTAGGTCTTCGTCATGATGGCCACATGAGTTATCCAACGGACACGAGTAACATGCAAAGGGAGGATGATGATTTCCGTCTGCGTAGGAAATAAGAACACCACATTGGTGATTCAATCTTTGCCGTATTGCCTATTGACAGGATGACCATCTTTCCTCCGGAGTACATGCACATGCTTTGCCTTAGGTTGATGGGACGTTGGATTACTGTGTGGCACAGGGGCTCTACATCAATTTTCGAAAAACTGCATTATAAGTGAAGTCACTCTATACGCGGATGGCATTTAATGGTCACGTGACTTTCGGTGGACAAATAATTATTCACACTCACAGACGTTGTTGTTTGTGGGGTTGGTAACAAGATACGGGCGATTGTTCAGCAACGACGTGTGCAGCTGAGACGTTCAAGTTTGGTCCCCTATCGCTGTGGTGTATTAGCATAAAAGGCTGCTGCTCTGGTTACTATGTGAATGTTGAACTTTCACTGGGTGGTCTTGTCTGCGTAGCGAATCACGATCAAGCAGCATTGGAGTACCAGGAAGAAGTTGTCAGGGGGAAACCTTATGTACATATTTTTTGGAAAAACGTTCTTAGTTAACGGTTTGTTTTCTTCCGCTATCGCTGTTACTGACATTTGTTTAAACATATCTAGATGCGGCATCTGACATCACTGAACTTGTGCTTGGCTCATAGGCAAAAGGTGCCTATTAGTAGTTTGATTTTTAATTCCTCATGCTTTCTATTCTTTGTTACTTCGTTGTTGGCCACGAGTGCGCTGATGTTTTGCGGTGCCGGATTGCAGCTTCCAAGCTAAAATATCATACCCATGCAAGACATTTTGTCACTGACTCATTGAGGTATAACAAAAGTGTGCCATACATGCATGATCCGCGTGTCGGAACGGGCTGAGGCATCATCACCTATAATACATGCATGAAACCACTCTTATGAGAAGAACATTTGCTAAACAGGTGATGGTTTACATGCTATTTTGCCACCCTGACACACAGTCATTTAGAGCATAGAAGTGTCGGAAAACCAATTGAGGGAACACCTCGCATGAAAGCAGATACCCTGGGGACGGTTACATGATTGGCCGTATTAATTTACTTGAACGTTGGTCCAAATCCGCCTACCGGATTGTCCCCAGTTTCTTAATCTGTCTGATACCTTCACACTGCCACTCATTTCCAAAATCCCATTCGGGATCTGTTGTATAAAACACGCATGAACTACTGGACAATGACAAGCCTAGAACTTCTGCAAGACCTGCAATTCAACCCATGGAATGTTCGGACCACAATGTATGGCACAGGTCAGAAGGAAGCAGAAAAGTTGTGCAGCCTTTTCAATTGGATACCCGTCAGAAAAGCTATACAACCCATGGGTAACTAAATTTCTAGGAAGAAAGAGGTGTTAGGGAGATACTTGTTGGACATACATAATTTGGAACAACGTTCTTATTTGTCGCTTTGTTTCCTTCCGCATTTGTTTAAACACATCATTCTGCTGATTGCATTGGCTTCCTGTGGGTATTGTTTCTGGCCTGGAATCGCCGTGCCACATGGCTGCTAATGCGCCCTTTTTCGTTCGTTGCATGTTTCTTAGTGGTTTTCTTATGGAATAGTATCATTGGCTTCATTCTTCGCGCATGCTTTCGTCATCATGGTTGGTTTGAATGTCTTTTAGTAGCTTCCATTCTGCCCATTCTCAAAACTGTTTAAGCAGGCAGAATTTAATGCATACAATGCTTTCCCGATAGGTGTTTGGAGTTCTTCTTGCGGTCGTGAGGTGAAGGCGTCGGCTGTGACGCAACAGAGTTGACCACGGTTTCTGGTAACCCTTCCATTATTTTGTTATTGTTTAACCGCATTCCCACTCCTTATGTCATCATACAACAGTTTGCCATTGCGACCTAGAGCCTCGGAGTTAAGACTGCCAGCAGCTAAACATTTTTGCTTATCAGTATACACCGTGGATGAAGGTGCTAATCACCCTAGCGATTGTGCCGCAGATGTGTACGTGGTAAGCATATGACGATGGTGATGCATACCCATTCTCTTTTTAGACAGGTTTCCCATTAACAATCTGTGGACTGTATTCATAATGTTTTCCAACTAAAAGCTATCATCTGTAACTGCTTTTATGCATTATATGCACATGAGTGTCCGAAATATGTGAATGTGGCAATCCGCATTGTTGCATATAGTTTTCAATTCAGCCGCAAGGTTATGCACGACAGGTTTCTTATATGTTTCACATCATCGAGTTTGAGGACACCACAATCGCTGTTGCCCACAGGAAGTGGATGGTTGGCTAGGTTATAACTCCAAGAAAGCTGAGGATTTACTTCTTTGTGCAAAAGTTCCACGTCCTAGGGCGAAACGTGTTGCGGTCAAGACTATGCGCGTAACCGATATCCATACTATGTAATTACCCTGTTGTTCGCAGACGATTACAACAAGGCAAAACGTTTTACTCGCTTCTTGGAGGATCACACCAATTCACCGTCTACTGACGGCACACTACCTGTGGAGCGAGGCGGAAAGAGACGCGTGTAAGTAGTACTTCCGCTAAACCATTTTCAGGCTTTCTGACCTGCGACCTGATTTTGAAAAGTAAACGATGGTCCGCCAGATTCCAGCACATCCAGGAGTTAGTGTCGTTCAAGGGTAACCACCTCCTCCAATGCTGAAGTTGAAGGATGAAATCCATCTGGAGACTCCTCTCGCAGCCACAGCAAACGTTCGTTCAATTACCAGTCCACTCCTAACATGGTAAGAAAGTTAGATACTTGTATAACGCTTTCGCTTCAGCTCCCAGATTG